TGACATAGAAACCTGAAACTCTGTATGTAAATGCGCCTTGATGCATTATACTTCCCACATCCACTGTAATATTAAAAGGTTTAAAGTTTAAAGCCACTGAAACCTGTTTGAGCACAACATGAAACTTGCCAATCAATTGACAAAAAATTCGTTCAAGGTCAAAACGTCAAAAATCACAAAATGATCTGTGTTACCTTTTTTAAGGTCAGTAACTGGTGTATGGATGCAATTTGGATAGTTCAGCCTCAATGATATCGAAAAAACAAGTTTGCTGAGAAGAGTTAGAAAAATAAGTGAATTAAGATAACATAATAAATTATTCATTTTGTTTGTGTGAATAAGTGAAGAATAATTTTAAAAAAATCTCAATATGAATTTCTTCGTTTAGTGACTTAGATCTGTTGTTTAAACAAGAGTTCCAATTTTACATTTTTGTTCATCTGTGTTCTAACTTTTAACATACCTAATTTGAACATGTTCAATGCATTTAATATCTGTTGCATTGGAATTGAACGTGTCTTGTGTAACAAAAAGAACACCTGAATGTTCATAACATGTTCAATAATAGAATGGCTTGATGTGTAATGAAATGGTTTGATGTTAGGATTTTAACGTCAACGCTTAAATTTGAACACTAGATGTTCATAAGGCGTTAATGTATGAACAGTTGAAGATAAAAGTTAAACATTAGTTTTAAGAAATGGAGCGCGTCTTGGAGTTCAATATCTGTTGCAAGGAAATAGGCGTTTAAGATGTCTTGTTTTCTTGAAAAATAACATCCAAAAATTTACAATGTAGTTATAAATAAAAGCTGAAGATATAAAAGCTTGTCATCTATATTCATCGGTAATAATATTATCAGCATTAAACTCGACACATTGTACAAAATGGCCAGTTCATTGACCAACTACAGTACAATGAAATCAATATCACCAAAAGAGTACTTGCTTAAGCCTTAAACCAAACGTATAGGGACAGCATAAGTAAGTTTTTAGCAATATATTTTCATGCTGGGATGTATTTCTTCCTCTAGTACAATCCACTTTTTTTCTGTCTAACAGCCAACATAAGTTTCAACTTTAAAAATACACTGGAAACGATATATGTATTAAGATTATTCCAAATTGTTTTTGTCCATACATTGATTGTAATATTTTGGTATGCTGTTTGATTTACATTCCCCGGAATATCGAAAGTCGTCGCTAAAAGTTTGTTTGGTTTTGTTTTTATTTATTTATTTTTTTCATTTTTTTTTTTTCATTGCCAATTTTATAAAATGTAAATTATATTACCATGTTTTACAAATTACTTTATTTTCAGTTTCGCACATCATTATTTAGCTTTATCTTACTTGGTTTCCAATAATTTTAATATGATATTGCGCTCGTAAATGAAGTTTTCAACCAACATTTATGATAGAGGCTCAACTCATTTAATAAATTCAGTATTGAACTTATACTCATTCGATATCCTTTATTTATGTAACTCATCTTCTATTTTAAGGGAAACTATCTTATTTAGCACATAAAGCTGTTAACCAAACTCACCAATAAAGTTTCCTCTACTGATTATGGCGACGTGGTCAATAAAACCCTTCCTTCTAAGTCTACATTACAGTTTGCATTTGATTCTTTTTGTGTGTGAGTGCATGGCAATGGTGAGCAATTTCCGCCCACAGCTCTAGCAACTTTCCAAGCTTTTTAAACAGAGTCTGTAATTTTATGTAATTTTGTTTTGGTTAATGCTTCCAGGGATCACTTTGTTTCCAGATTTTATACTTCACAAAGGCAGGTGTCAAGCGCCTTGTGGCAACTGTTAAAGTTGCCTCGTACTTCACTTCAGTGTTGTTTTATTTTTCTGGTCCTCCAGGATCATTGATGCCAGCCCTTTTTAGTGTTAAGAATTGAGTTCTGCTTAAACCTGTGCTTTAGGACGTGATGGAAGTTGCACTTATTCATTATACCTCATGTATGGACTCAATCAAACCAAGTCTGCAATTTTCATGTTATTTTTGTTGTGATTAATGCTTCCGAGGGATCACTTTGTTTCCAGAAATTTATTACAAAGACTGTATATGTTAGAAATATAGGTCTGTTTTCCAAGTGCCATGTTTTTAAAAATGAAATATATGTTAATTTGAGCGTACACATATAAAAAAATTGTTTTATCAACAGAAACAGGTATACAATGTAAACGTAAGAAGACTTGTGTTAAAAAAAATGGGATTAAACACTTAATAGAGGAAGCTCGAGTGAGGCGCAAGCTGTCGAATCTACTAATACAGCAACAAAATTCTTATTGAATTGACGAAAAGCCATATCAAAAGCGGACTAGTAGAAAAACATTTGAAATGACTGCGTGTAAATGAACATAAATGAAACAATTGGCATTGACAAGACACCAATTCCGAATTTAGATAGTGTTCAAGTAGAACAATTAGCTCGAAACAAATCGTCTTTAATAAGTTGCGCCGCCTCAGGGTTCTTATCACCTTTAATTAAATTTTGATAATGATTTCAGTAACTAGAGGAGAAACTAAAACGCATGCTGAATTTAGTATCAAACCTTATTTGCGTATCCACATTAACATTGTGTGTAATTTGAATGTTTGCTTATGAATTGATGAAAAACAACAAACAATCAGTGATTTGTGTCGAAATTGTTTTTCCTAGCATTTTTCCAAGTATAGCCTAATTACTTGAGACAAAATTATGCTAGACCCAGAACTAGCTTCAATAATTATGAATTTTGCAAGTATCGAATCAAGAAATGGTAAGTGAATACATGTTTTTTTACTCATTTAAAATAGGGAAATAAGAATGAAATTTATTGTTATTAGTTAGATAATACATCTGATTGGAATATTGGTACAAGCATAATAATTAAATGTCATAGCCACCAATAATCACGTAAGTAAATCAAAGTGCCGAAAGCACCGGATGTGACGGACATGAAAAGGGAATTGCATAAATAAGAAGATTGAAAATGGCACGAACACATCAATAATTAAATGACATAAGCTGCTACGCAAGCATTGAAATTTAAACTTAAACCAAATACATTAAGCCAAATTTATTTATCGTGTAAGCGACCAATCCTCGAATACACCTTCAATGTTTGGGACGGCCATAGTGTAATATAAACATTCTCATGAGCAGAATGCAATAAGAAGCAGAGCGTATAGTCATAAACCTTACTAGTTCGGTATCTATAGAACGTCTTCTTTGAGCACTAGGTTGTGTATCTTTGTCGGATAGAAGAATAATGCAATAATTAATAATGGTGTACAAAGCTCACCAAAACCACGTGCCGGACTACTTTCCTGATCTTTACACTAAGAGTGTCTACATACTGCTAACTATGTGACTTTCGCATGGCGAACACAAATATTCACAAAATTTTCTATTCCTCAGTTTCCATTGATCTAGGGAACAATTTTTAGGACCATATTAGACACCCGGCTTCTCTAAATATCTTTACATTTCGTCCGAAATGAACGTATAAACCTCCACTTTATTTTACGGAGATCTACGGAGATCGAAGTTTATCTCTTAACCATGAACGTTTTAAGAACGAATGTACTAATTTTAATGCGTATCTTAATAAAAAAAAAACATTTACGAGATTATTCATTGTGCAGCTTCTGTACCTGCACATCAAGTAATAAAGACACCAAGTTCCCTAAACATAACAAAACTAGAGTGCAGCTGTTTCGCGCAATTCGCAGTTCTCATCTGTGCGTTCAAACCCTTTTGTTTGGAAAAGAATCTCTTTCTGATGAGAACAACTCGTTTACTTTTGACAAGGTACAAATATTTATTGATTCACACAATAAATTTGAAAGACGATAGTCACCTCAACATTTTTTATATTTTTTGAAGACCATTAAAGCGGCTTCAAGCTTTTTCTAAAGGATACATAAGTAATATTTAGATAAATCGTTTCATATAATTGCCGAATCAATTGAATTAAGGTGGGAACTGAATTCTGACAACGATACACTTAATATCCATAAACAATACGGAATCCCCTCGATAGGTCCACTCTTTATTTGTTTCTATTTTTAGAAGCAAACGTCACTGACACGTTACAAATAGCTGTTTTGAGGAAGGCTTAACAATGATATGATACAGTTTTTGTTGTTTTTTTTTTTGTTTTGTTTTTGTTTTGTTTTTTTAATACTGAAAAACTTAGTTTGAAACAACACAGACAAAGAAAGCAGCTGCCTCAAGGGGGAATTGGGTGATCCCGAGACTCACTGAAGAACAATGAATTTTTGATGAATTTATTTCAAAACAGTAAATAAGATCATAAAGAAATTAAACAAAACAAACAAATATAATTATGTACACAATAATATAGACAAAACAAACGACGATTAACACTGTAGTATATCTATTATAAATAAATAAGATACATAAAAGAATGTAAAAAATAAGAACTTTGCGCAAAATGACTGAACCAGCCATATTTATATCACATAATCTTTTTTGCATTTAATTCATAAAAAAGGCGCATGAATAATAATACTTTGCGGATTAGTAATTTACGGGTTAATATTTGTAGTCAGCAAAAGAAAACGTATATGTCCAAAACTATATGTTACAAGTGAGAATTATATCCAAAATCTCAAGGAAATGTATAACCTTGCCCTGATTGACTCTGGAAGACAAGATATGGTCATTTTTGTCCCACATTGAATATAATTTCCAAGACGTTATATTATTTAAATTGGAAGTCAAATATTACACAAGTCCGCTCTATTCTACATAGCTATTTGTATTCTTTTCAGTTTCAAATGTTAACTAGAATCTAGAATAAATTGAGCAGTATGATGGATACTATACAACAGTATGAATCTTTGGTAGTATGATAAGAAGTTATGTTTATGACATCTGATTTGTGATCTTGTATGATTATTAACATTGTTTCTGTTCTGGACGCTTGTACGTATGATTATTTGTATGTTTTTTTCCGTTCTGAGAGTTCTTTACTTGGCGTGCTGATGTCTTCTGTCTGCGTTCTTGTATGATTATTTGGTGTACTGGTGTCTTCTAACATGCTCTTGTATGATTATTTGTTGTGTGGATATCTTCTGTATTGTGCTCTTGTATGATTAGTTGTAGCACTGATGTATGCTGTACTGTATCCTTATATGGTTAGTTGTAGGTTTAATGTTTTCTTTTTTTCTGCCATGAATGGTTATATGAGTAGTGTTCTATTCTGCTCTGTGTCTTTGTATGATCAGTAGTAATGGGCATGCCCTCTGTTTTGAGCTCCTTCAAAGTACATAAAATCCTGAAAATAAATAAATATATTAATAATGATAATTAGGACAATGATGATGATGGTAATGATGATGATGACGACGACGACGAAGATGACGATGATAATGGTGGTAGTGATGATGACTTGGAGGAGGATGACGACGACGTTAATGATAATAATGATGATAATGACGATAATGATGATGATAATGATGATGATTCGAACAGAAATTATGTACTAAACGAATATAAAATAAAACTATTTGGTAACTATGATGTTAAAATGACTTATTCAGCTGAGGAAGACAACATTAAGAATTTAGAATTTTGATTATGACACTGACAATTAAATTTGACTTAACGAAATTGGTTTCCAGTGAAAACAAAAATAATAGCTACAGAGCAATAAAGATTTCAACATCAGTGACACGATGTGGCATGGTCGAGTTGTTGAAGTGTCTGACTAGTACTCTAGTAAGGGCAATTTTAGCAGCGGTAACGATAGAAATAACATCATTTATGTGTAATGACAACAATCAGCATTTTGATGAGATAGGCATGGATATAGCAACAGCAGTTATTACAGTTTTAATAGCAACGTAGCAGAAACAAGATGTAAGCAACAGTTCAAAGATTGCAGCAATTCAATGATAACAACAGTTAAATGATGGCAACAGTTCAATGATGGCAACAATTCAAGGATAGCAACAATTCAACGATAGCAACAATTCAATGTTAGCAACAATGCAATGTTAGCAATAGTTCAATGATAGCAACAATTCAATGTAAGAATATTCCAATAAAAACAACAATGCAATGTTAGCAATAGTTCAATTATAGCAACAATTTAATGATACCAACAGTTCAATGATAGCAACAATGCAATGTTAGCAACCGTTCAATAATAGCAAAAATTCAATGATGGCAACAATTCAATGCTAGTAACAGTTAAATGATGACAAGAATTCAAAAATAGATAGCAACAGTTCAATGATTGCAAGAATTCAAAAATAGAAACAGTTCAATGATGGCAAGAATTCAAAGATGACAACCGTTTAACGATGGCAACAATTCAATAATAGTAACAGTTCAATAATGGCAAGTGTTTAATAATAGCAACAGTTCAATGATGGCAACAATTCAATGTAAGCAACAGTTCAATGAAAGCAAGAATTCAAAGATCGCATCAATTCAATGATAGCAACAGTTCAATGAAAGCAACAATGCAATGTTAGCAACAATTCAAAAATAGAAACAATTCAAAGTTAGCAACAGTTTAATGATAGCAACAATTCAATGATAGCAACAGTTCCATGATGACAACATTAAATAAAAGCAACAGTTCAATGAGGTTAACAATTCAATGATAGCAACAGTTTAATGATGACAACAATTCATTGATAGCAACAATTCAATGATGAGATTAATTCAATGATAGCACAATTCAATGATGAGATCAATTCAATGATAGCAACAGTTCAATGATGGCAATAATTCAATTATAGCAATACTTCAATTATAGCAACAATTCAATAATGACAATATTCAATGATAGCAACATTTTGGTAAAAGCAACAGCAATTATTAAATTTCAAATGTTTCAACAACAGCAAATGATAATAAAAGTAAAAGAAACAACAGCAATGATAACAATAGCGGTGAAAATAAGTTAATGACATCAGTAATAACTTTAGCAACAGCAAAGGCAATAATATATTAACAGCAATGAAGATGAAAATCGTAATAACTTACAATAAGAAATGTGGCACCAAGCATCACAGCTTTCATTTTGACATCTAAATCCATTGGAACTGCAAACATATAAAAAACAATAGAATGTTAAGTTTATAAATGATGTCACGAAAAGTTAACTGCCATAATTAACAGAGTCTTGTTACAACATTTACGATGCTTAATATAAAGCAATAAATGTATTTAACAATTAGTAAAAATACATGTATTGAATAAATAAGGTACTGAAATATGAAAGTAGTTTCATTTTAGAAGTTTTTTTTTCGGAGAGTGGGGGAAGTCAAACGTTACATGAGTTCTAACGCACATTTCATAAAATATTTTGGCGACTTCACTTGTATCTGACGCTTTGCCTTGGCTTAGACATAAACTTGGATAGGCAAAACAAGGGAGTTAATTGTATCAGACGTCGTTACCATTGACAGAACACATTACCGTAAAAATATTTTCGGGGGTAAATTGTATCAGCCATGTTTTTATCGTATAATAATATAAAGGAAGGTAATGAAAATATATTACAGATTGGGTTAGAATAACGCTTAAATTCCTGGTTTGTTTAAGGATGAAAATCTATGTATATATGAAACAATTCAAAGCACCTCGTCGATTACCCAAAATCTTGTTTCCGAAGCTAGGCGGAAAGGTACGAAATGTTGCGATTTATTTTGAACTATATCAAATTTGCAGTCGAATAAGTGTTACATATTTGATACTTACATGTTACACCAAAATTATCTGCAGACGTGAACATTTCTTGAAGAAGATTGCCCCATTGCTTTTGAATTTTCCCTACTTCTGTCTCTCCATCGGTTGCGGAGAAAATCTAAAACAAAGCAATAAAATTATTGTAAAATTAACAATAGTTACTGAATTGACATCGACCAATCAAAAATGAACGGTGACTAACTACATGTATAAATACAATATTTACATACGTGTATGTGACCATTATCGACTGAGAAATCTTACGCTTGTGCAAGGGTTTCCTTAAAGCAGCATGCCTCCAGCATGTTAATTTTCATGAAAATTTGGAAAATGTATTTTAAAGTGAAATATTTAAAAAAAAACAAGAACGAAAATAATTTGCACACAGCAAACGGGAAAATTACCAAAATGAGGTCAAAATATGCAAAAATAGTCCTTACTGTGTACTTACGCAGTAGAAATATGGTAATAAAATACTGCAAAATCAGTCATTAATCGCATAAAGTCGCAAATATTTACTCGAATCATGGATCTTTTTTTCCCCTAAAATCTTAGCACATTTTTCTCAAGTTTGATATTCTTGCAATATTTTGACTCCTTTGGAGGCACGCAGCTTTAAAATCGCAAAGTTTACTTGACGTCTGGAATCATGCTCAATGTTTCTAACATCGAAATGTGCATTTACATGTTCAATAAACTGTTCCTTATAATTTATTTAACGCTCCTGGCTTAACAAACTGGATGAAAAAATGATAAAAAAGAAGAAATAAAGGTCAAAAAGCTGTAACTAAATGAAAGAAATTACGGAGCCAGGAAATTATCCAAAAATGGGAACAAAGAGCTAATACAGAAATCAAAAATAAAGGAAATAAAGGGTGAATAAAGGGAAAAAGGGTAAATAAAGGAAATTAAAGGAATTGGCACTAATAGGATATAAAGGGCAATTAAATGAATTAGCAAATATATGAAATAAAGTGCAAGTAAAGGAATAAGCAAGTAAAGTATAATATAGGAAAAAGCAAATGAAAGGAATCGGTGTGGACCGGGTAAACATTGACATGCAAATACTAGAAATAACAAGCAAATAAAGGAACAAGAACACAAATAAAAAAGAGGAAAATTGAAGAGCAGCTAAACGAATAGGCAAATTGGCAATGAAATGAAATGTAGGAAATCCAGTGTATATAGTATAAAATGCTAAATTTAGTTCTCTTCCGAATCCAAAGGACAAAAAGCTGTTTGCAAGTTTTTTTCCTTATATGGATTATATATTATAAACGGACTTCTTACTGTGAAGTTGACGTCACATGGGCAGCCTTGGAAGACGCAACATGGACCTTCTATGTAGAGAACGTCCTTTTCATCGGCGTCCATTATCTTATACTTTGGAGCCATAAAACTTGGTCTAAAAATAAGATAGATTCTTATATGATAAGTTATTTTAAAATGATGAGCAAAAGTACATCAAGAAAACAGAGAAATGAAACTACCCTTTAACATTGACTCAATAAATGTAATACTTGTAATTTTGTTGAAAATGACATTGGAAGAATAAAACAACGTATACTTATAAAATAGTGCACCAACCGCCCACCCTAAATCCCTGAAAGAAACCCCGACCTTCCATAAGCTAGATAGATAGCTTCATTACCATGAAACAATCCAATGTCACTGGCGGTATTCGAACCCACAGAAGTGAGGCTCAAATGATATAAGTTCGCAAACTTAAGCACTCGGCCAGGAGGAAAGCACATTATGATGATTAAAAGAAAGTAAAAAAGAAAAGACCTTGTTTTATTTCACAAAGGGAATAAAGGGAATAACTGAAATAAATTTACCACAAGACATGTAAAAGTTAGAGGACGTTATATGTTGGTGTCATTATTTACTTGGTACAGTGTCATCTACTAGATTACACGATTGAATTTATATATTACTGATATAAAACCATTAGGTAGAATAAAACCATAAACTTATTTCCGAATTCATATACTGACATTAAAGTAACAAGATTTAAATCAATGCAAAATCTAACCTTTGCTGCACGTAGCCGACGACAGTGCCGACGGGAGCCTCGACGGCGATTTTGTGGGCACAACAGTCAGAGAAGGCACACCAGTTCGATTCCTTCCAGCACCGGAACTCGCGCTGTAGCCTGATAACCTCCTGTAACAAATGTTTGATTTAGTGGTGTGATAAACATATGAAAGGCTTATCAGACCGACGGACAACAATATCAACGCTAATAATGGAAAGAAGTTCACAATATTGAAATACATTTGTTTACAAGAGACACCCTTTTTTAACCCTAATCCTGCCTTTTACAGTAATTTAGAACCAGGCCAGTCTCATCGCCTTGCAATCTTCAAATTTCTATAATGCTTGTACTTCATTTGTTGCAATCTGATATTGAAATCACTTAACTTTCGAATGCAAAACAAGTAAAATCAATAACTTTAAAATCGGCCGGACTGTTTATATTGTATCAATATCATTATGACTATGATCAGCCTTGTCCATGAATTTTTAAAAACAGCAATTTTTACGGGGGGATGAACACCCTTTTAATACTTTTAAAAAACTGTACATTCTCAAAAAATTTGGTATAGTAAAAATTGCTTTTCCATCTTTTGTTAGCTTTTTTTAATGGTTTTGAGCAATGTATCACTAAGGGGGACTCAAAAAATCCTCTTACAGATAAAACGAGTAAGGAGTCTACAAAGACTGTCAAATAATTTTTAGGTAACTAAACCGCATTCATTTAGAACCTTTTAAAAATCATACCCAAAATTTTCACTTTTTAAGGCCCAAAAACTACATTTTTTTAAAAAACCCAATGAAAAAAACCAAAAAAAAACACACATTCAACCAATTTTAATTTTAAAAATATCCCCAAAACCCCGCCCAAAATCCCACAAAAAGCCCAAATTTTTAAATTTTTTACCAAATTTAAAAACAAAATACCAAAAAAAAGGGGGGGGGTTTAACTTCCAGTCCTAAAAAATGGAAAACTGAATATATTTCGTATTCATCGGGAAAACACATTATAAAAAACATTTAAATTACTGGTCCCAAATTGTCGGTTTTATGATAGTGAAAGATCTGTTTTTCGACAACAGTTTATACACGTTTGACTCTAAAAAACAAAAGGAACATAAATCTAATAAATTATTTTTAAAAAAAACTCCAACTTTTTACAATCAGACCTTCAAATCATTCACAAATTTTAAAAATTATTAATTTTCTT